AAAAACACATCTAATCGATTATCTGAGAATATCATAAACGACACACAGCACATGGAATATTTAACATACAGCCACATCTTCTTAGAGATCTGGAATATGTTTTTGGACCTAGTATGAACCCTTTGACTCGTGCCTATATAACTTAATATCCATTGTTATCTCACTGACCATTCATGTGCTATCATTTGACTTCAGTTTTAATTTGTTAACAAATCGGATTTGATGATGTATGTTTTCATATCTGTCTACACCGATGCTATTTAATGTAGATTTTTTTTGTATTGTTGTTATTGTAACCTGATAAATAAATAAAAAACAAAAACAAAAAATACCTAATCAAATTTTATTTGTGATTTAAGATCTAGAGCTAGAACTGAGGACCACAATGATATTTCCACCATGACCTCTGACCCCACACCGACCTCTGCCTCTTTCTTCAGGGTGCGTGTTTTCTCCATCTTCTCCAGCACCTGCTGCGCCTCCTCCACGTTCCCCTCACCGCCCAGCTGCTCCGCTCGCGCCAGCAGCTTCCCGATCTCCTCGTTCAGCTCGTGCACACGCTCCGCCTGCCAATCAGAGCACATCAAGATTATAGAGTCACAGCTGTAAAAACAGACAGATCCTGAGCAAAGGTCAGAGAGGGTGGCAAATGGGCATGAAAAATTACATTCTTTGTGGTTGAAAAAAAAAAACTAAAAAAAACCTTGAATAATGTTATACACTTATCTCAGGCAAAAGAACTAAAAGCTACCAAATGGCAAGATATTATGGAAGCCTGTTTCTGCCACTATTCTTACTTCTCACAATCATGAGTTCATACTAGATTACTGGATTACCATACTGGATTTTTCAGTCCCGCAAGATTCTGTCCCGTGCCTGCAGAAATATATCTGGTCCCGCCTGCGACATTCAAGTTTCGTCCCGCTCCCGCCCACAAAAAAAGTAATCTATATAGATTTTTTTTTTTTTTTAATTTACAAGAAATGGTTCTGTAACAGCTCCACAACATCCCAGCATAAACACTCTCGATAAAATATTTGTTATTTAGGCTAAGCATCAACATTCACAATCTGTAGATTTTTTTTGTATTGTTGTTATTGTAACCTGATAAATAAATAAAAAAACAAAAACAACAAAAAATACCTAATCAAATTTTATTTGTGATTTAAGATCTAGAGCTAGAACTGAGGACCACAATGATATTTCCACCATGACCTCTGACCCCACACCGACCTCTGCCTCTTTCTTCAGGGTGCGTGTTTTCTCCATCTTCTCCAGCACCTGCTGCGCCTCCTCCACGTTCCCCTCACCGCCCAGCTGCTCCGCTCGCGCCAGCAGCTTCCCGATCTCCTCGTTCAGCTCGTGCACACGCTCCGCCTGCCAATCAGAGCACATCAAGATTATAGAGTCACAGCTGTAAAAACAGACAGATCCTGAGCAAAGGTCAGAGAGGGTGGCAAATGGGCATGAAAAATTACATTCTTTGTGGTTGAAAAAAAAAAACTAAAAAAAACCTTGAATAATGTTATACACTTATCTCAGGCAAAAGAACTAAAAGCTACCAAATGGCAAGATATTATGGAAGCCTGTTTCTGCCACTATTCTTACTTCTCACAATCATGAGTTCATACTAGATTACTGGATTACCATACTGGATTTTTCAGTCCCGCAAGATTCTGTCCCGTGCCTGCAGAAATATATCTGGTCCCGCCTGCGACATTCAAGTTTCGTCCCGCTCCCGCCCACAAAAAAAGTAATCTATATAGATTTTTTTTTTTTTTTAATTTACAAGAAATGGTTCTGTAACAGCTCCACAACATCCCAGCATAAACACTCTCGATAAAATATTTGTTATTTAGGCTAAGCATCAACATTCACAATCACAAACCACTGTTATTTTTAACAGAAAAGCAAGCATGGGTTGCTGCGTGCATGGTTTGGCATGGCAGAATGCGAGCAGCGCTTCCTTTATTATCACTAAAAGCTGACATCTCAGTTAATCGCGATCTCATAAAGCTCTGTTATAACACAATAAATGTATGCACAATGAATCTTTCACAATCACCTCTGGTTGGCCATTGCGTTCCAGAAATCAACAGGTGAGTCAGTGATTGGCTACATTGCGCAACCCTTTATAAATAGAAACTATGCCTAGCTTGCGCATGTCAATCATTTTAATGTTAATATTAGTTGTTCTTTTTGTGCAACAGATCAATAACAATTTATATGTTTTAGACACTTTATGTTTAGATCATTTCTATTTTGCGGGAGTCCCGCAAATCATTTTATTCTCCCGCATACACACGAGTCTCTTTCCACCCGCACCCGCCCATCAAAAGTTGTCCCGCTCCGCACCCTGTTGCGTTGAGTCCCACGGTACTCCCGCGGGAGCGCAGGTCTCTAGTTCATACCTCAGAGTTTACATCTCACAACTCTGACTTTTGTCTTAGAATTCTGCGTTTACTCTCATAATTCAGATTTTTTCCCCCCAGAACTCAAAGAGTTTACACTTCACAATTCAGACTTATTTTCTCTGAATTCATGAATTCTGAACTCAAATCAAACTTTTTTTTGTTACATCTCGCAACTCACACTTTTTCCCCTTTTAGAATTCTGACTTATCTTGCAATTCAGACTTTTTCCTTAGAATTCTGTTTACATCTCACAATTTGGACTATGGTTCTCATAATTTGGAGGTTACACTTCACAATTCTGACTTTTCTCAGAACTCTATGCTTATATTCCACAATTAAGACATTTTTTTCCTCAGAATTCTACGTTTACATTTTAGCTTTAGACTTAGTTAAAACTTTGAAATATAAACTTAAAATTCTAAAAGAAAAACAGCAGAATTGTGAGCCGTTAACGAAAAATTGTGAGATATAAACTTATATCAAAACTGTGGAATTTTGCGATCATCCTTTTTATTCTGTGGTGGAAACAAGGTTCTGTAGGATATGGTCTCTTTAAAAAGAAAATAAATTGAGTGGTTTTCTTTTCTGTTTGCATGTACTTCCTATCGAAACAGGAAGTTGGAACAGGACACATTGAAGGGCCCATCCTCCTTTTTCTTCATAAAAAGTCAGTTTATATCAGAGCTGTGGACCATGACTCGCTAGTCGCTGGTCTGTGCACAAAAAGCAGGTGTGTGAAACTTCAATATGAAAATGATGTGCAAGTGAAATCTCGTGTTGCAGAGATCGTTCAGGGATTCCCCAGCGCAGATCGTCAGGTTTTACCTTGGCAGCCACTTCAGCGCTGATCTCTTCCTGCGTTTCAGCCAGCCGTTTTTTGGCCAGTTCGGTTCTTCGGTCACAGTCTGCGATGAAAGACTGCAGGTGCTCTGTGGCCTGAGGAGACGCGGCACGATCAGCCATTTATAAGCACATACAGTCAAATGCATGAATGTAAAGGGTTCATACGCACATCCAGCTCAAAGAAATACTCCTGCTGTTTAGATGCGATCTCATAATCTGCTCTCAAAGCGAGATCGTGAATCTTCACACACTCCCCCAGATCCATGCGCTGCACAACCACAAACACAACCGTTTAGAAAACTCAGGCAACCTCAAACCACTGTTATTTTTAACAGAAAAGCAAGCATGGGTTGCTGCGTGCATGGTTTGGCATGGCAGAATGCGAGCAGCGCTTCCTTTATTATCACTAAAAGCTGACATCTCAGTTAATCGCGATCTCATAAAGCTCTGTTATAACACAATAAATGTATGCACAATGAATCTTTCACAATCACCTCTGGTTGGCCATTGCGTTCCAGAAATCAACAGGTGAGTCAGTGATTGGCTACATTGCGCAACCCTTTATAAATAGAAACTATGCCTAGCTTGCGCATGTCAATCATTTTAATGTTAATATTAGTTGTTCTTTTTGTGCAACAGATCAATAACAATTTATATGTTTTAGACACTTTATGTTTAGATCATTTCTATTTTGCGGGAGTCCCGCAAATCATTTTATTCTCCCGCATACACACGAGTCTCTTTCCACCCGCACCCGCCCATCAAAAGTTGTCCCGCTCCGCACCCTGTTGCGTTGAGTCCCACGGTACTCCCGCGGGAGCGCAGGTCTCTAGTTCATACCTCAGAGTTTACATCTCACAACTCTGACTTTTGTCTTAGAATTCTGCGTTTACTCTCATAATTCAGATTTTTTCCCCCCAGAACTCAAAGAGTTTACACTTCACAATTCAGACTTATTTTCTCTGAATTCATGAATTCTGAACTCAAATCAAACTTTTTTTTGTTACATCTCGCAACTGACACTTTTTCCCCTTTTAGAATTCTGACTTATCTTGCAATTCAGACTTTTTCCTTAGAATTCTGTTTACATCTCACAATTTGGACTATGGTTCTCATAATTTGGAGGTTACACTTCACAATTCTGACTTTTCTCAGAACTCTATGCTTATATTCCACAATTAAGACATTTTTTTCCTCAGAATTCTACGTTTACATTTTAGCTTTAGACTTAGTTAAAACTTTGAAATATAAACTTAAAATTCTAATTCTGTAGGATATGGTCTCTTTAAAAAGAAAATAAATTGAGTGGTTTTCTTTTCTGTTTGCATGTACTTCCTATCGAAACAGGAAGTTGGAACAGGACACATTGAAGGGCCCATCCTCCTTTTTCTTCATAAAAAGTCAGTTTATATCAGAGCTGTGGACCATGACTCGCTAGTCGCTGGTCTGTGCACAAAAAGCAGGTGTGTGAAACTTCAATATGAAAATGATGTGCAAGTGAAATCTCGTGTTGCAGAGATCGTTCAGGGATTCCCCAGCGCAGATCGTCAGGTTTTACCTTGGCAGCCACTTCAGCGCTGATCTCTTCCTGCGTTTCAGCCAGCCGTTTTTTGGCCAGTTCGGTTCTTCGGTCACAGTCTGCGATGAAAGACTGCAGGTGCTCTGTGGCCTGAGGAGACGCGGCACGATCAGCCATTTATAAGCACATACAGTCAAATGCATGAATGTAAAGGGTTCATACGCACATCCAGCTCAAAGAAATACTCCTGCTGTTTAGATGCGATCTCATAATCTGCTCTCAAAGCGAGATCGTGAATCTTCACACACTCCCCCAGATCCATGCGCTGCACAACCACAAACACAACCGTTTAGAAAACTCAGGCAACCTTTCAATGTCAAATAATGCAACTGTGGCGAAGCATAAATACAGTCCTGCAATTATCAAACCGGTTTTAGATGAGTAAAGTCAACCCCACAGAGGCGAGGAACGATAATGAGACACTTACGGTTCCAGACAGTATGTCATGTGGACACGACTCCAGCAGATGACTCTTACACACCCGCTCGTCCGTGAACTTGATCCGCTGTCTCATCGTGTCTCCTGCGAGAAACCAGATCCACACATTATATGAGCATCAAAAATCATGATTCTCATCGTGTCAACCACACAACGAGACACGCCAATCAAATAAAAAACAAATCATGATTCTCAATAAAAAAAAACATGAGAATTATGACACTGATGATAAAACTACAATTTTGACATAACTGCATCAAAAATGAGACTAATGATTGTAAGAATTATGTAAGACAATTAATCATCATATTCATGGTTCTCATATCATCAATCAACATCAATGAATTTATGACATTTATAAAATAATCTCAGGCAAAGCCATAGGAGTTTATCAACTCAAGTCATGACATTTTTTAAATTCAATGAAAATTCATGAAAACACAGAAACCACACCAATCAAAAGACGTTTACAAATCATGTCATTAAAAAAAAGGGATAAAATTAATCCCATGCCAATGAAATCATGAAAATCAAACTTATGACACCATGTCCATCAAAATAGTTTTTATCAAATCATGCCAAAAAAGTAGAATAAGTCAAAATCGACAAAATATCAAATTATATATATATACAAAATCATGATTCTTATCAAGTCTTTCTTTTTAGAATTTTTCATAAATGAATAGGACTAATTGATCATTAACAATTTGATTCTCATCTAACAGACATTAAATCATAAAATGTATGATTTTCCATCAAATTCAGTCGATGAAATCATGAGAACTAATAATGATGTTTACCAAATTAAGTCAATCAAAAAAAAAAAAGAGCCATGACAACCAAATCATAAAAATCTAAATTATGTTGAATGTATTACATTTTGACAAATTCATGTCAAAAATTAAAACAATGAAATTCAACCAAATCATGTGACTTGTGATTCCTTTCATGGCAAATAAATCATAAAAATCACGAATCCCACGAAATAATTGACTGATATGAAATTATTCCAACCAAAGCCTAAGATTTATGATGTTTAATTATACCGACAGAGTGGTTAGAATCATGAAATGGACCAATCGAAAAGTGAGAACAGCACTAATAATAAAATTATGGCGACACAATCATTGGAAACATCAATCTGACGCGATTCCCGTCAATCAAATCACTCAATTCAGTGCTTTTAAACGATGCAACCAAATCACGAGAGCCATGAATCACATAAACCCGTGGCTTCTGAACAGGTCTGTCGAACAGATCAAGGGAGAACCAATATATAGAGTATAAAACAACAAATAAAGCAACGACGCTCTGACTGAGTCAAACGCATGGTTTACTTTCGATTCGCCGGGAATGAAAGAAACACTCACCATCTCTGCCAGTGCCCATGAGCTGGTCCAGCATGGCTCTCATCTGCGCCTGGGCCGACATCTTCACCTGCTCACCTGTCTAACGTTACACCTGTGAATATACCTGCCTGGTGCGTTAAACCCAGTGAGCTGAGCTGTTCAGCTAGCTCCTCACAGAGCAGGCCTCAAGCCCGGCGGCCGCCGAAAACAACACACCCGCCTCCTGTAACTCACTAACACGCTCTCTACTAACACCGCGCACACTTCTGACTTCCAGATGCTCCAGAAAGCGCAGTTTATCGCTGAAATGCCGCTGAAATCAGTCAATCATGAATCAGGGAGCTAGTGTGGAGCGTTAGCAGCAGCGGCTAACTCTTCCTCAATCCGCCATAAGCGCGCTTATTTATCAGTCCTCGCGCTGCTTTATCAATCCGCAGTTCAGTATTTTGTGTGGTGGTCCATATTCGCAAAACTTTGACAGTGTTTATTTGTTGTTGCTTTATTGTTTTATTTGTTTTTTTCCCTCTCGGAATGAGACTTCCGACCCGCTCGCGCTGCTCCCGCTTGGTTACGCGGCCTCGAGGAAGTGCTGCAGAGCTCGAGCGCTGATTGGCTGAAGGGCGGGTGACGTCATTACGTCGGGCCGTCGCGAGGTCATCAGAGTCTATGGTCTTTTTTTTTTTTTTTTTTAATACGTAACTCATAAAAACAAAAATGTGAAACTTTAACTGGAATGTCCCAAACGTTTTTCAGTTTTTTTTTTCATTGGCATAGTGCTGGGTAGATACTAATTGTAGTCCATTACCGATTCCAAATTACATGACAAAAATTGTAGTTACTATCGTAATCCATTACATTGCTACACATTTGAAGTAATATAATCTGACTACTTTTTGATTGCATTGCTTTTAACCTAAGTCGTTTATAACATTGAGTTAAATAAGATAATCTTGTACCATATCGATATAAAAATACCGTATCGACAAAAAATAGAAAAGAGAAAGCAAATTAGTTCCATTCGTTGTTATTAAAGATGAAAAAGGAATAAAAATAGGGAGATTCAATAAATTATGAATGATTTATTTCTGTTGTGTGAATATTATGTAATTACGTAATCAGTAAAAAAAAGTAACTGTTGTCTGATTACGATTATTTTAAAATCTAATATAATCTAATTACAAGTACTTAATCTGATTATGTAATCCAGATTACATGTTACTAGCCAGCACTGTATACACACACATACAGTTGAAGAATCTGCCAAATGTTATTTATTAGATTTAATTTTTTAAATAAAATTATTAAAATTATTTAGCCGTCCTGAAAACGATATTTTATGTAAAAGATGTTTACATATAGTCCACAACACAAAATAATAGCTGAATTTGAACAACGACCCCTTTCAAAATGTACATATGCTTGATTCGCAATACTGTGTTTAACTGCCCACTGTTCCTCAGAAAAATCCTCCAGGTCTTTGATTTTCCAGCATCTTTTTTATATTTGAACCTTTTCCAGCAGTGACTGTATGACTTTGAGATCCAACTTCACACTGACGACAACTGATGGACTCATACACAACTATTACAAAAGGTTAAAGCATTCACCGATGCTCCAGAAGGAACTTGATGCATTAAAGGGACAGTTCACCCAAAAATGAAAATGTGATGTTTATCTGCTTACCCCCGGGGCATCCAAGATGTAGGTGACTTTGTTTCTTCAGTAGAACACGTATGATGATTTTTAACTCCAGCCATTGCAGTCTGTCAGTCGTATAATGCATGGCAATGGTAACAAAATCTATGAGAGTAAAAAAAACATGCAGACAAATCCAAATTAAACCCTGCGGCTCGTGACGACACATTGATGTCCTAAGACACGAAACTATCGGTTTGTGCGAGAAACCAAACAGTATTTATATAATTTTTTACCTCTAATAGACCACTATGTCCAACTGTCTTTGGGCGAGCGCACTGCATCCGGTGCGTGAGGTGTGTACGCGCTCTGGCGTAGTTTCCACAAGCGCCGGAAGTGATCTCTTGCACGTATACGTCACTCATTGTTTACACAGTGCACAAACATTGTAGGTATGATGGCTAATCAAAATGGTATTTACTTGCGCTAATCCGGATTGTTCAAACCGACTTAAAACTAAAAGATTACGTTCTCTCACGCGAACTCATTCGGGAGTGGTGACTTTCCTCGTATTCCCAACTTCTGAGCCTGCTCGCCTGAAGTTATGGTTGATTGCTCTTCGGCTGGATATCAACACACCCATTAACGTAAACTATGCCAGAGCGCGTACACACCTCACGCACCGGATGCCGTGCGCGCACTCAAAGACAGTTGGACATAGTGGTGTATTAGAGGTAAAAAATGATATAAATACTGTTCGGTTTCTGGCACAAACCGATCGTTTAGTGTCTTAGGACATCAATGTGTCGTCACGAGCCGCAGGGTTTAATTTGGATTTGTCTGTGCATGTTTATTTTACTCTCATAGATTTTGTTACCATTGCATTGCATTATACGACTGATAATGGCTGGACTTAAAAATCATCAAATGTGTTCTACTGAAGAAACAAAGTCACCTACATCTTAGATGCCCTGGGGGTAAGCAGATAAACATCACATTTTCATTTTTGGGTGAACTATCCCTTTAAGAGCTGGGCAGTGAAAACATTTTGAATTTGAAGATGTAAATTATATTTATTTTGGCCCACAAAGACATAATAAGTGCAAGTATGAAGGGCAGTACTAAATGAAAAATATGATATTTAAACAAAATAATCATCCGGTTCAAAAGTTTAGTATCTTGACAACGGAAACTTTTGGTTTTAACTGTTAACTTTAGGACTCAGGGGAACCGGAAAGTTCTGAACGATACATGTTTTAATAGTACAATCAAATTTGAAAAGAGAAAGGACTATTTGATTACTCATGAGATGACTGCTTTGATATTGGGTCTCCTTGTTAGCATCTCACTGGTCAATAATTACACAAGAAACGACCACAAACACAACAGTATTGGTTCTCTCTGTTTATTGTTCTGATGTGTAACAGACATCTCTTAATTTATGTACGTTGTATATTATATTCATATGTATAAAAAAACATCCAGTGTAATAGTTTTTTCTCCAACTACTTCCACAGAATACAAAATCAAACCCAGCTGTGATGATCAATTAGAAGAACGAGAACAAACAGAAACACAAAGAGGTCCTCTCAGACGGACATCCGTCCACCGTCACGCTTCCCACTGATCACAGTCACCAAAGACACAGTCACATTGTCGTTTTGGCACCAGAGTTTCCTCTCATCTCACTAAATCACATTTGGAAAACATACGAGCTCATTTATTAGACTACCACAGCTAACTGCTTGATTCACAGTTTCTACAAGAGCCAGGCCGTGCATGTCAAGCGCTCCAAAGCTTTGAGTCTTTAAATGATCTAAACGGGAGGAATTTCATTGCTTATACTGTAGATTTAGCCTCTGGTTGTCGAGTGGCGTGCCCCGTCTATAGAGGGCCTCTCAAACAGCAGTTTCATCACCAATACTCACAATTCATGGATATACAATGTATAGATATACATAAAACAAATCATCAGCTCACACAGTTTAAGTAAATATAAAAATGAAAAATAATCGATGTGATGTAAAAACTAAACTTTGTACCTACAAATTGCACTACAAATCCACACGGATGACCTCGAGTTATGCTACATTTGTCTTTATAATGAATCCTTCCATATTTCCCATTCATAGTCTTCAAATAATCAACGATAATAAATTGGCAAAAAAATAAAACAAATTTTGTTTTGAGCTGTATTATGTGAGAATTTGGATAAAAAAAATTAGACTAACACATTTACAGCTGCTCTTAAGTGTATCGATGCTACATTTTTCGATTTAAACAGATGAAACCGTAAAAATAAATGCGCATTCAATGCCGTGTGATCCAAAGTTATCTAAATAGACCATAAGGCACGTTCACACCAAGAACAATAACTATGAAGCGCACACTCGTCTGCCGCTTTAAATTCGCAGGATTGATTCTGATTGGCTGTCAATGTTTTTAATCATTCATCAGCTGGAGAAAAATCGTTTTGAAAGTGATTGCAACGATATCGTTTCTCTGTGCCTTTATCGTTATAGTTGTGGTGTGAACTATGCTATTCTTTAATATTGAGAACGATTTTCTCACGATATTGAGAGCTATATCTTTATAGTTATCGTTCTTAAGGCTCGTTCACACCAAGCACGATAACTACAAAGATAACGATAAAGATATGGTTCTAAAAATCGTTCTAAATATTAAAGAATAGCTGAGTCCACACCACAACTATAACGATACAGAGGAACGATATCGTTGTGATCACTTTCAAAACTATTTTTCTCCAGCTGATGAACGATAAAAACATTGACAGCCAATCAGAATCCATCCTGCTGTAACGAGCTCGAGAATTTAAAGCGACAGACGCATGTGCGCTTAGAATAAACAGACGATATCGTTTGCTGGTGTGGACGCTAATATCGTTATCTTTATCGTTCTTGGTGTGAACGGGGCTTTAGTGTGGACAGGCCTTTAATCAGGATAGACGCCATTTTGAATTTAACGCGGATTAAAAATGAGGCTGTACTGTCGTGGCACACACGGTATAAAGGTCGTCATTTTTCGTCAACTCTCAGCCTTCAAGGCTGTTTTATGCAGTTTTCGTCTTCTGAGAGTTTTATTCATAAAGACGTTTCATTAGCTATGCTTTCAAACAACAGTTCAATCCATTGAACGCGCTGTAATTCTGTCCAGCCTCATTTTAATTTCTGTCAGAAATTAAATATGACGTTACCCTGACTAAGGTTTATTAATGTGACACTGATTCTCCGACCGTGAAAAACTGGACTATGATAAAAATCATACATTGTTATTTGAAATGATTTCAGAAAGCCGTTAGTAGCGACACCGTTCTCAGAGGTGGGCGTGGCTCCGTCTCATTCAGCCAATCAGACATCAGTGGGCGGGGTGTTTTTGCTGGTCTCGTAAGGCAGTGAGGATCTCGCGCCTCGTTACATTCGGTATCACGGAGCGCAAGCCCGGACCAACTCGTGACGCTGATCCCCGATCGTGTGTGATCGTGTGAATAAATACAATACAGAACTATGATAAAAAATAGAGTGGAAGTACTAGAGGAGTCTGGGATCTCTTCTGAGGTATTGTCTAACATCTAGCTCCATAGCACCATTTTTCCACACCTTGATCAAATACATCTGCCTAAATTATCACAGGTTTAACTCCAGCATCTGTGGTTGTACGTGAAAATAATTTGGATTTGTACCACATTTTGCCGGTCCATAGAGCTCGAGATAAACCTGAAACCTTGACGTTCAAATCACTGACCGGTAATTGTTCGTTTTAGGTAGACTGACTATTCTGGTCTAAATGACTTTGTTCTAACATACTGTATTTACTCAAATAAGGCTAAAGATCATCTGCATATGAATGCTCATACTCTCTATTTGTTTTATTTGCTCGATTGCAGGCTTCAAATCTCTCTTAATGTTAATGTTAATATAACATTTTGATTTTGTTACATGAGACAGTTTATTCAGCTGGCACGGCCTGTACAAGGACTGGCACTCAGATCGGCATAAATCGTGTATATGTAGAATAAAGAACAGCCCTTATCTAAAATGGGCTTATATTAACATATATCTATTATTATAGTTAATAAACAGTCGGACCTGTAAGGGAAAGTCTCATGAAAACACTTCACCTCAAAACCAAAATAAATTGCATTACATTTTCCATTAAGTTTTGCAAAAACATTTGAGGATCATAAAGACACTTAAAGGGATAGTTCACCCAAAAATGAAAATTCTGTCATTTTTAAAATATCTTTATTAGGATTCTCATTACTGTAATATAGTATTATCTTTTACAATATTACAGTAATACAACACAATATTGTGTAATATTATACAATATTTTAAATCTAAAATTTAGTTAAATAGAATTTTTTTTCTGTATTACATTACTGAGAACATGGGGGGATTTAAAAAATATTTAAGTGTCATTAAAATCACAACGCAACATCTTTCTTAATAGTTCTAAAATAGGCTTTGTTTACTTTCTAAAAAATGTAATTTCTTACTTTTCCATTTGATTTTGGGGTGAAATACGACCCGGACAGTTTTCATGAGGTTCCCCCTTAAAGGACATCAGTTGACCCGTATTCATCGTATGACTTTTATTTTGAAATACTCTGAAAGTTCTACACTGTTTACCACCTCTGTGAAACACTTCCTGTTAAAAGCTGGAGCTGAGCCAGATAGAGGGGAAGAAATGAGTGGAAAAAGGAACAAGACATGAGATGACGTGACATGAGCTGTACACACAGAGAGAAGGAGAATGTACTTGTGTGTGTGTGTGTGTGTTTGTGTGTGTGTTTACAAGCATCCCTGGGTTGTACAAGTGTGTGTCACATGGTGTTATTCCACGTCGTAAGTGTTGAATTGAATCGAACGTGCCTAGTATACCTTGTTTACACCTCGGTGCCGACGCTTGTGTGTGTGTAAGTAAAGGTGCAACTTCCACTGCAGTGAGGTGAAAACATGAGGCGGGCGAGTGCCCTACAGAGCCGTGAGTCTCCCCGTCAGAGCGGCCTGCAGTTCAGACGGCAGGAACACGCCGAGCTCGGTGATGATGCCGCCCGTGATCAGCTGGTGAGGAGTGACGTCAAACGCCGGGTTCCACACATCGATCCCTGCAACACAACCCACAGAACGATCATATTTAATATTAATACTTTGAATTAGATTTGATTGTGAGATTTTCTGTGTGCACTTTGAATTTATTTATGTTTTAGGAGTTTTTTTGTCATTTTTATTAGTTTTAGTTTTTCTTCTAGTAATTAAAGCAATAAGCCCCATGAAGCCGTGGTTTACAGTGAATTTATAACAGCTAAGGGACGTTGTTCGCGTCATGCCTAAAACCCCCTTAGCTGTTATAGATTCACTGTAAACCACGGCTTCACGGGGCTTATTGCTTTTATAAAACGGTTATTCCATATACGTAGTAAGGTTTCACAGAATAAAACAGAGCAAATAAAGTGTAATGATATTAATAAAAACAGTATTCTTCCACCAAACAATGTAGTTCCTCAGAAACAGTTGTGGTTCCAACAAAGTGGATGCCGAGAAACACACAGAAGTAAACAAAGGTGTGTGTTTGTACAGTAATTTACAACAGCTTCGAACGCGGCTCAGCCAATCAGAATCAAGGACCGTAACTATCTGTTTTATAAATGGCTATATGTGACCCTGGACCACAAAACCAGACATTTCTGAGACATTTCACAATTTCTGACTAAATAAGCTTTCCACTGATGTATGGTTTGTTAGGATAGGACAATATTTGGCCGAGATACAACTATTTGAAAATCTGGAATCTGAGGGTGCAACAAAATGTAAATATTGAGAAAATCATCTTTAAAGTTGTCCAAATGAAGTTCTTAGCAATGCATATTACTAATCAAAAATTAAGTTTTTATATATTTACGGAAGGAAATTTACAAAATATCTTCATGGAACATGATCTTTACTTAATATCCTAATGATTTTTGGCATAAAAGAAAAATCTATAATTGTGACCCATACAATGTATTGTTGGCTATTGCTACAAATATCCCCCAGCGACTTAAGCCTGCTTTTGTGCTGCAGGGTCACATATGAGGTTTATTAATTTTTATTTAATAGTTTTAGTTTATTTGAAGTTATTTCAGTATTTAAAATTCACTTAATACTAATTAGCAATGTGTAAACTACCACTTTTCATAATCGACTAGTCAGTGTTATGGATTGATATTTTGGACAGAAGTGACAGTTTAAAGTTAAAATGCATTAAAGGGCACCTATTATACAAAATTAACTTTTACATGTTGTTTGAACATAAATGTGTGTTGGCAGTGTGTGTACACAACCACCATATAATGATAAAAATCCTCCCACTGCTTTTTTAAAATCCCCATAAATCATAAGCAGTGTTTTAGAACAAGCCGTTCTCCAAATCCGTAAAATGTGATGTCACATTTGACAAGCTCCGCCCACGATTGTTGACGGACACTGCCGTATTAGCAGAGACCCGCCCTGAGTGAGCCGCACACAATTTGCCATGTTTATCTTCACGCTAGAGCATTTAAAAGCAGCATTCAAGTAAGAAATATCTTAAAGCTATAGATATTTTGGGGTCATATTATCAGCATAGACAGCAGTAGCTACGGTATATTACACTGCTGTCCCTTAATACACAGATCTAATATAGACATGCGATTTCTATCCCAGCTGTTCACCTTCACAGACATAACCTCATGTGTGTATTTAACAAACTTGTATTTGACAGTTTAAGCGCAATAAGACATGAAAGAGTTTAGTACTCACATGCTGTGACAGCTGTGTCGGTGCGTTCACTTCAGTTGTGTGCGCTCAGGAAACCGTATATCAGAAGTTTAAACTAATGTGGGTTAAAACGCATGATTTCAGCGCGATAGACATGATAATCCAAGCCAAATAGATGTTTTTTATCAGATAATCTGAGGAACGAGCTGTAAAGGCACAGCCCAGTTTTGGAAAAGGGGGTGGGGAGCAGCAGCAGCTCATTTGCATTTAAAGAGACATGCACGAAAACAGCGCGTTCCTGCTTCCACTCAAAATAGGCATTTTCAAAATGATATAATAAATGATCTGCGGGGGTATTTTGAGCTGAAACTTCACATTCTGGGGACACCTGAGACTTATATTTCATCTTTTAAAAAGGAGCATAATAGGTGCCCTTTAATGATGGATTTGTTTCTTACAAACTTGCAGTTTATTGCTTCACAAGACATTAACTGATGGGCTGGAGTGGTGTGGATTACTTGTGGATTACTGTGATGTTTTTATCAGCTGTTTGGACTCTCATTCTGACGGCACCCATTCACTGCAGAGGATCCAATGCTGACCAATGCTACATTTCTCCAAAGACAGCAATTTAGCTCATATAATTCATGCTGTTTCTCTTCAGATATAACAGACGTGTAACAGTTCCAGTAAGATAACAAGTTAATTTGCTGAGATGAATTGATTGGGATGCTGATCTGGGACCAGCGTTCCCGGCTCAATCTCCCGGTCTTGTCTGTTGTGAGGCAGTCTTCATGAGAGTAGTGCAGTAATCTGTCTCTCCCCTCGAGACGCCGGCAGCTATTAAACGCTGCAGCTTTAATTAATCTGATGATTCTGACTCTCTCTCTCTCTCTCTTCTGTTTTCACATGTGCGGAGGATCATTCCTCCCTCATATCAGAACCGTTTAATTAAAAGCAGCTCCGCTCTGTTTCAAAGCTCACTTAAACCCTGCGCTCACACACTCACACTAATCAGCTTTTTCTGCTTTTCTCACCCCTTCTTCAACAACAACAAAAAAACCCTGCTGCTTTGAACATTAAAAAAAAACGCAAATAGCCATTTACTATACATGAACACAATAGCAATAGCACATTTAATACACTTACACCCTCATTCAAAAGTTTAGCACTGGTAAGATGTTCTCTTCTGCTCACCAAGGCTGCATTTATTTAATGAAAAATACAGTAAAACTGTAATATTGTGAAATATTATTACAAGTTGAATCCACTGTTTTCAATGTTAATATATGTTAAAATTTAATTTATTATTACAAAATACAGTAATATTGTGAAATACTACAATTTAAAAAATGTGTTTTGCATGTTATTATATTGTAAAATGTAATTTATTCCTGTGATGTAAACTGAATTTATCATCTTTACTCCAGTCTTGTGTCACATGATCCTTCAGAAATCACTCTAATATGCCGATTTACTGCTCAAGAAACATTTCTGATTATTATCAATGTTGAAAACAGTTGTGTCGCTTCATATGTTTGTGGAAACAGTGATATATTTTTCTTTTCTCTATTCTTTGATGAATAGAAAGTTCAAAAGAATAGCATTTATTTGAAAACATCATAAATGTCTTCACGGTCACTTGAAAAATCATACCAACCCTAAACCTCTGAATGCGTGTATATTTATTTATTTTTTTACGCCTTTTCTACGACAGTAGAGAGCTGACAGGAAAGCACTGGGAGGAGAGAAGGGAGCAGGATCGGCGCACTAACCACAAGGCTATGGGCGCCGACGTATATTTATTTAAAAAATATATTTAAAGGAAGCATGCTGAACTTCACAAAAAAATCCCAAGAGAATTAATTTGTTTAAATGTTTTATCTCTGCATTTTATATTTGCATCTGACTGACATGTAAAATGTCCAATCACAGTTTTTTTGTGTGTGTGTGACTTTAAAGGCAGGTAAAAAGTGGAATATATGAATTAATTTTTGTTTTCGTTATTAAGTTATTAAAGAATTGCTAATAAGTGTCGAAAATGAAACTTTAATCATCTTTCTATGCAGAATCTTCGCAAACTAAAGGCAAATTCAGTGATTTCTTTTTATTGCAGTATATCAACAGGTAAAATGGTGTTAGTTTAGTTTTAGTTATATACTATTATACTTTTTATTAAAGGGGTCATATAATGCGATTTCAAGTTTTCCTTTCTCTTTGGAGTGTTACAAGCTGATTGTGGTTGAATTATTGTTATTTTTATATTTGTAGTTTTCTTTTTAATTAGATTCTAATACTCAGTAACTTTGTTCTTTAATTAGTTTTTTTTTAAATATTACTAATTAGGTTTAATTGATTTTATTTCAGTTTTAATTTAGCTTTTATTTATTTCCAGTCTGTAATTTTAGTGCTTCAAATTAAAAACTTGACAAAAAAATTTGAAATGTTGCATGTTGTTTTTCATCTGCGTAATATTTATTAATTTTTTATTTATTTCAATAGTTCTAATTTTAAAACTAGAGTGCTTTGGATCTAAATTTGTGCCATTGTTTGTGTGAAATATATTAATTGGCAGTGTCCACTTGACTTACCGGGAGCGGCTACAGGAACTCCATTGATGCTGGTGAGCTCCTCCGCTGGACGCTCCTCGATCACGATGTCTCGTCCGCTCTCCAGACTCAGGTCGCAGGACGTGCTGGGCGCCGCCACGTAAAACGGTACCCCGTGATGCTTAGCCGCGATGGCCAGCTGATACGTGCCCACTTTGTTGGCCGTGTCGCCGTTGGCAACAACCCTGTCCGCTCCGACGACGACAGCTGTGTGTGCACAGGAACATTAACATCTGACACACCTGACACAGTCACGACACTCAAGCGAATGCACTCCACATGCGTCACCTGTGATGCCCTTCTCCCTCATGGCGAGCGCCGCCATGCTGTCTGTGATGAGGGTGGCCGGGAACCCCTCCGCCACGGACTCGTACGCCGTCAGCCGGGCGCCCTGGTTGTAGGGCCGGGTCTCTGTGCAGTACAGACGCTTCAAGCGGCTCAGCGCATGCAGCGACCGCACCACTCCTGCATGGATCAGTTACAGTCGTTATCAGAGTTGCTCATCAAGGATGAGTCCACTTTCCTGATTATTTAACTCACCCCCATGTCCAAGCTGTTCATGTCTTTAGGTGCGTCCCAAATCGCGTACTTATGCACTATTCTATGACGTTTTGTAGTATAAATAGTGCGAGTAGTGCGTTCACACTGAAAATTCCAAAAAGAAAAAGTGCACTTTAAATACCCGGATGATGCACTTAAATGACCGAAAAAACGAAGTGTGGAATGTTGGACACTTCATGCACTCAACTGTCGCAGCTTTAAATACCTACCGAAGGGGGAGGGGCTATCAGACTCCGATTATGAATGACAAAATAACCTTATATAATTCATACTACACATGGTTGAGCACATAGTGCATAAGTACATAGTGTATGAGTGCATAGTGCGTCATTTGGGACGCAGCTTTTCTCTCTACAGTAGAAGGTTTTTGAGGAAAACATTCCAGGATTTTTCTCCATATAGTGGACTTCAACGGTGGCCAACGATTTCAAGGTCCAGAATACAGTTTCAGTGCTGCTTCAAGCTCGAGCAAGCCAAGCTTTTGTGGTTAAAAAGTGTATAAATATGATTCTTTTTTTTTAGAAAATGACAGATCGTTTAGCTAGATAAGACCTCAAAGCCCCGTTCACACCAAGCACGGTAACTATAAAGATAAAGATAACGATAAAGATATAGTTCTACAAATCGTTCTCAATATTAAAGAATAGCAGAGTCCACACCACAACTATAACGATAAAGACAAAGAAAAACGATATCGTTGGAATCGCTTTCAAAACGATTTTTCTCCAGCTGATGAAGGATAAAACACTGACAGCCAATCAGAATCCATCCTGCTGTAACGAGCTCGAGAATTTAAAGCGGTAGACGAGCGTGCGCTTAGAATAAACAGATGATATCGTTTGCTGGTGTGGACATTAATATTGTTATCTTTATAGTTATCGTTCTTGGTGTAAACGGGGCTTTATTCCTCGGCTGATATCCCTTTTGAAGCTGCACTGAAACTGCATTTTAGACATTGAAATCGTTGGCCACCATTGAAGTCCACTATATGGAGAAAAATCCTGGAATGTTTTCCTCAAAAAACGTAATTTCTTTGCGACTGAAGAGAGAAAGACATGAACATCTTGGATGACATGGGGGTGAGTAAATGATCAGGAACTTTTTATCGTGGAATTGTGGACTTATCCTTTAATTTCTGCAGTGATGCCAAGCACGCGGACTTACCGAGAGCCGTGCCGTATCCCGCGGTGGCCAGGCTGCCGGTGTTACAGTGTGTGAGGATGGTGACCGAGTCTCGCGGGACGCCTGACAGGATATGCTGCGCGCCGTAGTTGCCGATTTTTTTGTTGTCGTTCACGTCTCGCTCCAACATCTCCTCAATCCAGCCAATCACGCTGCAGAGGGGCGTGGCCAAAAGACAGGCACGTTAGAGGTGTAATCAATGCAGCACTTCATATTTAGGCTGTTGTGATCATTTGTTTTAATTTTTGCTGAAAATGAAGTGTCGTTAAATATAATTGCATTTAATGATTTAAACTTATCTCTCACAGTGAATATCTGATAAACATTTATACACGGTAAATTTGGAAACATACAATAACCAGCGTACTTCCTTCAAGGCTCTTTAAACAGATACTGCACAAAGTAGAAAGGTGTGTAGATCATTTTAAATATTTTAAAGACTACTTTAAAAATGAAAAAATAAAAACCATTAAAATATTTATTTAAACAAAATATTTCTATTATTTCTTTTTAATATTTCGAAATCAAATCCATTCCGCTCTAAAATCTGCTCACCGTAATGAAAAACGAGATTAAAAAAAATACTACTTTAAAAAAATTATAATAAAACAATTAAAAAATTCAATCGAGCGGACGTCAGGTGGCACAGCGAGTCCCTGATGAAGCACACAAGGTCGTTGCCCCCCATGCCCGCCCGCAGCTCCACCGCCAGGCTCAGGCAGCCCACGATGGCGATGGCGGGAGCTCCGCGCACCTGCAGGGTGAAGGGTCACAGGGTCACATGAGAAGCGAATAGCGCTTCTCATCACCAGGAGCTTGATTTCACACGCCCGGTGTTCTTCTCCATGCTTTCGTTCTCTGTGAACTCCATGAGCTCGCGGGCGGCTCGGCCCATGTTGACCGCCGTGGGTCGAGCGGACGTCAGGTGGCACAGCGAGTCCCTGATGAAGCACACAAGGTCGTTGCCCCCCATGCCCGCCCGCAGCTCCACCGCCAGGCTCAGGCAGCCCACGATGGCGATGGCGGGAGCTCCGCGCACCTGCAGGGTGAAGGGTCACAGGGTCACATGAGAAGCGAATAGCGCTTCTCATCACCAGGAGCTTGATTTCACACGCCTGCTACACTCACAAATCATCCATGTCAGTCGGCTTTCACAATGTGAACACTTCCAGTCAGCTCTAACAACTGAGATAAAAGTTGTGCGCTGAAGCCAAAATGCTGTTTGCAAACCCATTTTACATTCAAAATGTTAAATATTCCCAGGAAATCCAATGGGATAAATGCACAAAAGTACCACTCATTGCATTTAGTGAACCTTTTAAAGGAAAACGACATTTCCATTTAAGAGTTTCAGTGAAATTATGGAGTCATCCAGAGTAATCACAGTTCAGAGATTATGAGAAGTTATGGCAAGTATGATGTCAACCGTTCTTTAGAACTCGGAATTCTGCCATTATGGTTACAATGAACAATTATGACATCATTCTGAAAGTTCTAAGAGCTAATTAAATAACTATGACGTCATAATGACTTAAAGGGGAAAAAAGGAGAATTGTGTCATCATTTACTCGCCCTCAAGTTGTTGAGTTTCATCTTCTCCTGAGCACAGAAGATGATATTCTGAAGAATGTTGCTGACCGAAGAGTTGACGGTAGCCAAATGACTTCCACAGAATGGAAAAAAAAAGGCATGGAGGTCACTGGCTACTGACAACTCTTCGGTTACCAACATTCTTCTATTTTTGACTAAATCTTATGCGTTCAACAGAAGAAAGAAACTCATACAGGTTTGGAATGAAGACAATATTTATTTTTAGATGAACTATCCCTTTAATAATCGTATCGGAATCGGAATATCTGACATTCATAATGTCTCTTTATAAACGCAAACTGTGTGTCCTGTGTTTCAAGAGAGCAACCCTACATTTGTGTTGTGTTTTACTTTCCTTCTTTTATATTGATTCATTCATAATCATTTATCACTTAATCATTTTATTATTCCATTTAATCATTTTAAAGCCATTTATATACTCATTCCATTGATTAGTCATTTATATTACATGATTGTTTTTGATATTTTTGCCATTGTTGTTTAGTCTTATGATGTGTGGTTGGATGTTTGTCTTCATTAGTAAGAGATAGGAGAATGCTTTACTTTCAGGGTTTTTGAAGGTCACGGGACGTTGTTGTGAAGCAGTAATTTTCCAGATTTGTGCTGGTCACAACTAAGATTATTCAATAAACTGCTCCTTTTTATCATCACCACTTCATCTCCTACTTCTGCTCTTCTCTGGCTTTCCTCAGTCAACTTGTTGGCTGATAGAAGACTGTTAATACAGTTCTGGGTTCCAGACAAAACACTGGTTTTGGGTATTAGACAGTTTTGCTGGCTAACTGTTCTGTTACAAGACATCTTCTGACAGGATCTGGTATTTCTGGCATGGAAGCATCATGCTCTATATTACACGGGCCACTCGTGATGAACCATCAAAGAAATTTTTTTCCTTGGACAAATGCAGAGTAAAGAGAGACTGGTGTAGGACTGCTCGTGAGTGAGTGTCATTTCCCGTCCATTAGTAAAGGTCTCATGACAGTGACAGCGGCTGGCACAGGACCAAAGCCCCTGAATCCCCGATTGATCAATAATTCATGCCAGATATTTGCAGTAAGGACTATTAATGAAGCACCGACACGGCTGCCGGAAAACTATCGCCCCAACACATTAATTATGCACTACGTTAATCAAGACTGGAACAGCTGGAGAAAGAAAACCCGAGGTTTGCGAAACACCTTTATGATGTCACAACATGTGTACGCAAGCACACGTACATCTCGGAGACGTCTATTTGATGTCTGCACTTACATCTGCAATACGTCTATAGGACGTTTCCTATCAGATGTCAAATAGACGTTTTTTAGATGTCTTTAAGATGTTTATGATTTAAGCCCTATTCGGACGGGACTAGCGTTAGAGAAAAGGACTTTGCGATTTTAACCCCGTTTGAATCTTCCACGTCTGTGTTTTTCTCACACAAGCTCTGTAATAATTCCAGAGCAAATGACCTACTGTTTTTCGGCAAACTCAGTGATCCTCTGAGAAAGCTAATCCCGTCCGAAAGACGAATGTCTGAGATTGCCGACAATATTTTTCCCACATCGTGTTTCCTTGTGTGTTTTGGCCAACGTGAACTACCGTAGATGCTCTTACCGCGCGCATTTTTGATACGTGTGCCTCCCAGCAAAAAATAAATAAAATAAAATCAAGAGCAAGATCGCGTAAACTGTTAAGACTGGCTTGTAATATCAGCGTCAGGAACAGCCAGCTATTACAGAACGTTGCCCTAACCTTAATACACGATTGACTTCTTTAGGAACATTACTTTTAAGTTTTTACAAGCATAAACTAACACTCCCAAATATTTAAGGAAATAACTTGTTTACCCAAGCGGCCGTGTGCATAATTAACTCATTTAATCCCACCGGTCACAATAGTGCCCGTAAAGAAGGTTTTCATTTATAAAGCTCTAAAAATATTACTGACTGTTGTTTTAGTGCATTTTCAGCAAATATGGAAAAAATAAAGGGTCTCAATTAAATATGTGCCGTGTCACATGTTTAGTGCAAATAGTCACATGACCAGAGCAGTTTACTTCCTGTTTGCACCATGAGAAGATGATGATGGTTGCAGCAAAGCTCCAAAACAAAAGGCTAGTAAAGTATGTTAACAAAGATATGACAAAGATTTTTGGTATGCATTATCTTTAATGTGTCTAGTATTAATATATGAATTCACATATATTCAGTTTTGTTGAGTGTGGACATAGAATGAGTAAACATCTTGATGGTCACAATAGTGACCGGTGGGATAATAACTATTTGTGACCCTGCCTGGAGCACAAAAGCAGTCATAAGCAGCACATGTATATTTGTAGCAATAACCAAAAATACATAGAATGGGTCAAAATTATCGATTTTTCTTTGATGTCAAAAATCATTAGAATATTAAAGTAAAGATCGTGTTCCATGAAGATATTTTGTAAATTTCCTACCGTATCAAAACTTAATTTTTTGATTAGTAACATGCATAGCAAAGAACTTGGACGATTCTCAATATTTAGATTTTTTTTGCACCCTCAGATTCCAGATTTTCAAATAGTTGTATCTCGGCCAAATATTGTCCTGTCATAACAAACCATGCATCAATGGAAATCTGATTTATTCTGCTTGTATAAATCTCAATTTAAAAAAAATAGACCCTTATGACTGGTTTTGTGGTCCAGGGTCATATTTTTTTATCTTAGTATACGTATTCAGTGTTGTATAAGGGTTTAAATGTATAATACTAACCACAGTGATGAAACAGTTTAAAACGGGTTAATATCAGGGCTGAGATATATAAGAATTTTGATGACTGCAGAAATAGTTTAATTTCAGTATAGCCTACACATTATCCCACCGGTCACAATATTGACCAACCATAAAACGCACACTTTCCCCCAAAATAATTATTGATTGTTTCAAGGGGTTACTAATGACACATCATTTTGATACTTTCATGCCTGAGAAAAATGTGGGATTAAATGGGTTAAGACGCAAGCGTGCATTATTTAAAACTACACCACATAAAGCAGCGCAGGGACGTTATGTCAAGCGCAGGTTATGCAGATCATACATGCACACGAGTGCACAAAGAAAAAGGGCAAGCCCGTGCTCCGATCCGACACAAAGGAGCGCCACCTTATTCTGCTTGTATAAATCTCAATTTAAAAAAAATAGACCCTTATGACTGGTTTTGTGGCCCAGGGTCATATTTTTTTATCTTAGTATACGTATTCAGTGTTGTATAAGGGTTTAAATGTATAATACTAACCACAGTGATGAAACAGTTTAAAACGGGTTAATATCAGGGCTGAGATATATAAGAATTTTGATGACTGCAGAAATAGTTTAATTTCTGTATAGCCTACACATTATCCCACCGGTCACAATATTGACCAACCATAAAACGCACACTTTCCCCCAAAATAATTATTGATTGTTTCAAGGGGTTACTAATGACACATCATTTTGATACTTTCATGCCTGAGAAAAATGTGGGATTAAATGGGTTAAGACGCAAGCGTGCATTATTTAAAACTACACCACATAAAGCAGCGCAGGGACGTTATGTCAAGCGCAGGTTATGCAGATCATACATGCACACGAGTGCACAAAGAAAAAGGGCAAGCCCGTGCTCCGATCCGACACAAAGGAGCGCCACCGGCTTTGAGATGTCCGGAGGTGCGCGAGCGAAACCGGGAAGAGGATCCGTCGACCGGGCCTGCAGTAGCCTACCTTCATGCTCTTGATGGCCTCATATCCGTCCCGCACCGAGCGGATCTCGTCGTACACGGTCTCGTGCGGCAGCAGCAGCTGGTTGAGGATCTGCAGAGAACCGGGCCGGTACCGGATCGCCTCCAGCGTCATGACCCGTATGAGATGCGGCTGAACGTATTCCGGGAGCGCTGGCGCCGATGTGTGACGGGTTCCGTCGGTCCGCTTCGCGTTAAAAGCGCTGCGATTCGTGAATCATGAACCACAAGGTGTGGGCGTCCGCACGGATCGAGGGGGAGAAGCGCACCGATCACGGAACCGCGTGTTCGCTCTGTCAGGAAGCCCCGCCCCTTGACCACGCCCACTCCTGTCAGTCATCCCGCGGAGGCGCGTGAGACGTTCAGATGAAGCCTTTATTATTCGTATAACTACGGCGAAGCAACAATAAAGCGATTCAGACTATTCTTAGCGAGTGAATGGAGGGATCCAATGAAGAGCAGATGTCTGAGACTCGGAACGAGGACACGTAAGATCATGTTTCTATGGAGGAATCGATAAAAACGCACACGCAGGCGCTATTGTTCATTTTTTAATAAGCCACGACGTCTTCAGGGACTTTAATTCGAAGGAATGGTTCTCACCAAAATGAGAATTCTGCCATTTACTCATCTTAATAGTCGCAAACGGTGTTTGTTCTTAAAAAATAAATAAATAAACACCCACAGCTCAGTTTACATTGAAAGTGGATAGGGACTAGGTCTGACAATGATGCCAAAAACACGAGGGATTTTAATTAAAAAAGGTATGTTTCTTCCTCAAATGAAAATTCTGTCGTAATCACCTTCGAACCACTGATCTAATATTAGAGAACATTATATATAGCTCTTTCTCCTGTGTAGCACAAAACTAGAGTTTTTAAAACTTTAAAGGGGTCATATGATGTTGCTAAAAATAACATTTTGTGTGTTTGGTGTAATGAAATGTTCATGCGGTTTAAGGTAAAAAAAAAAAACATTATTTTCCACATACTGTACATTATTGTTTCTCCTTTATGCCCCACCTTTCTGAAACACCTCGATTTTTACAAAGCTCATCGGTCTGAAAAGCGAGGTGTGCTGTGATTGGCCAGCTATCCAGTGCATTGTGATTGGTCGAATACCTCAAGCGTGTGACGGAAATGTTACGCCCCTCACCATACTGTGATGCCCTGTCCGGCCGGAGCGACGAGACAAAAACATTAAAACCCATTATAAACGAGGCATTCATTGCATCCAGTGGGGACATAATTACGGATTCTAATGACTTATACTGTCTTTTTACGCGTTGCATCGCGCCGCGTAAACATGTCTGCATTTGTGATCGGAGAAATGACAAAACAACAAGCACTACTCTACACTGCTCAAAACTCGCGTTTGAATCATCAGTGGCAAATCCTTTTGATCCGGTGATCCACAGCGAAATTGTTGTATTCCCTCACCGACCAGCACGGATCAGCTCCAGGCATGACGAAGCGGATATCGTCCTCTATTGGAAGACCAAACAAAGTAGTTTTGCTTTCACAAAATGGCGGCAACAACAATACTACAGCAAGAATAAAAGTTACACATTCTTTCTTTGCGTGAACATTTGGGTGGCGTTATGCAAATCTTCCCACATAGTGAGGTAGACATGTGGGGGCGTGTTAGAACGAGGCGTTTTAGGTAGGCGTGGTTAACTCTTAACTTTTATAAAGAATATCTCTTTGGATTTGAGACTTTAGTCTTTGCAACTTTACAGATCTTCTTTATGCACCAAGAGCTTGTAACACTCCAAAGAGAAAGGAAAAATTGAAATCGCATCATATGACCCCTTTAACGTTACACAGGTTACTCCTGCGATACGGTGAATGGGGTCAGTTGAGCGCCAAAAATGACAGGGCTGTTCAAGTCAAGGATAATTATTAATCATTTTAATTCTGTGAGAATTGGGAAGCCCATGCCAAAAATTTAACGATGACGATTCAGAGGAATGATGTCGTTCGAATCACTTTCAGAACGATTTTTTTCCCCATCTGAAAAACGATTAAAAAACATTGACAGCCAATCAAAATCTAACAGACTTTAATGAGCGCGAATATTTGAAGCAGTAGGCGACTACTTAAGTGGATAGTTCACCCAAAAATGAAAATTCTGTCATTAATTACTCACCCTTGTGTTGTTCCAAACCTATAAGACCTTCGTTCATTTTCGGAACACAAATTAATATATTTTTGATTAATTGCGAGAGCTTTCTGACCCTGCGCTACTGAAATGTTCCCAGGTCCAGAAACGTAAACAGTCTATGTGACATCAGTGGTTTGACCGCAATTTTACGAAGCTACGAGAATACTTTTTGTACATAAAGAAAACAAAAATAACTACTTTATTCAACAATTCTTCTCCTCTGCCTCCATTATGGAGAGTACCACGTTCGTGTGCTTTCCTCTGCATGTAAACAAATTGCAGCGCATGCATGTTCTATGTGCAGAGGTACTTTCGATAGTGGCAGAAGACGTGATTTGGAGGAGAAGAATTGTTGAATAAAGTTGTTATTTTTGTTTTCTTTGTGCACAAAAAGCATTGTCATAGTTTCATGAAATTACAGTTGAACCATTGATATCACATGGACTGTTAACGTTTCTGGGCCTAGGAACATTTCAGTTGCGTTGCTGTCTGTGCAGGGTCAGAAAGCTCTCGGATTTCATCAAAAATATTTTAATTTGTGTTCAGAAGATGAATGAAGGTCTTGCGGGTTTGGAACGACTTGAGGGTGAGTAATTAATGACAGAATTTTTATTTTGGGGGGAACTATCTCTTTAAGTGCGTGCTTATAATAAACAGAACATCATCGTTCTTGGAGTGAACAGGCCTTAAGAGGCCACTCACAGAAACGAATGCATTCTGTGTGAACGATCCATTAAACTATAATAAACGTTGTCCATAGGATTTTTGAAAGCTTCAAAGCTTACTTATATTTGCAAACTTTTAAATATGGCTTGTTAAGATGCATCACATAAAGTTAAATGAACAAGTACTGCAAACATTTATAACCTACCTTAAAGGTGTTTTCTGTTGTTTCTCGAGCATGACAGTCCCAGTCCCCATTTGCTTTCACTTTTTAGAGCAGCCAGGACATTCTGCAAAACATCTCCTTTTGCATTACTTAAGCATTTAAAAAAAAAATCCATGGCTTTAAACAACACAAGTATGAGTGAATGATGACAGAATCTCCATTTTTAGATCAACTTTCCTTTTTAATTATTACATTAGACATTATCATATCCTTCACCGCAGACACATTAACAAATTAAAGCAGCTTTTTAAAAATAGACCCATCGTCAGAACATCAGTACATACATTAATACATTAGCAGTGATTGTCTTCAGTATGCGGAGACCGTAATGAACCTGATCTGTACATGCTGGAGTGAACGAGGATGAAGAAGGCTAATTTGGTTCAGACGGCATCCTTAAAGACGACGGCGTGCCGAATAAAGAGGTTGTCATGGAAACGAGGCAGCTTTATGTCTGGCTCGTTAAAAAAAATGCAACCAAACAAACAAACAGTTGACAGAATGACTGACTGTTGCACACACACACACTCTGAGATCTTCTCTACACAAACAACAAGGGGTTTGGACTGTGTCAGTCAGGGGTTAAAGTTGATGCCCTATGACTCTGAAACAGACAAGCAGGGAAGAAAGAAAAAAGAAGCAGCGACAGCTTCCCTAAAAACATGCTGATCTCAGCATATGAATGACCACATCTCCAACAACACAACATCACACATTATCACCCAGATACAAAACCTCTCATTCCATCTTATCAAACCAAACAGACCCAAAACACACACAGGCACACATGGACTCCGTCCTCCACCCGAAACACCCGCACAATGAGCCCCGCTTCATTTCCTCTCACGAAGCATCAGGGTGCGGATAATCCACGATTATGGGATATTATCTGCATCTCCTCCATCTAACACACACTTGAACATCTTCTCTGGAGTGCTGAGATTATTCCCATATCACGGCCGTGCAGTGGCATTATCCTAATCTGGGAATACTGGAAGACACAGATTACTGTAAAGACTGCAGATTAACAGCATTTATATGTGAAAGAGAGATTAGGCTGAGCCATGTCAGATAGGAGGAGATGGAAAACAAAACTGGGTACATATAAAAAGAACTATTGCGCTTTTGTAGTGCTAGGTACATGCACGAAACTGTCAGAGGGAACGAATGACCGTCTGTAATCCTGTTCTCTGATAACCATTATTTTATTTATTTATGTTGTATATATGTACAAAACATTGCATGGGGAAATCTCACAAATTAATGACATATTTGACAAAATAATTATATATATATATATATATATATTTAGTTTAGTTGTTCCTGTAACATTTTATTTTATTTCAGCTTTATTTCAATTAACACATTTTTTTTAAATTTTTTAATAATGATAATAACTGCAGTATTGTGGCATATAAGTAAATCTTGGACTACAATACTGCTCCACTGGTAAAAAAATCTCTTATGCAGTTCTTATATACTGGCCTGACTGTGTTCATTTTTTAGCTTTTATTTTAATTCTACTAAAATAACATGTTAAATTTACATTACTATAAGTAAGTGAAAATCACATTATCACAGAGCTGCAGTGATACTACAGCGGTGCTCACCCGTTTGTAGGTAAAAGCTGTCATGTCTGCAAGCAGATTGAGATGCCCAGAGGGATCCACAAATACCACAGAGAATGCTGCATGAAACTCCGGCAGTGAAGGCTGAATCAGGAAAAAAGAAAAAGAAAGGCACGGTGATTTAACCAAGACAAAACAGGCTAAAACAGCAAATAAATGCTTGAGTCACTTCTGCTCACCGCTTTTGAGTCTGGGTTTTTAGCCAAGGTGATACCGTTCTCCGTCAGATCTGTGGAAGCTGAAAATGTGAAAGCAAAAAGCAGATATATTGATTAATACACATTAGTGCTGTCAAACAATTAATCGCATCCAAAATAAGTTTTTGTTTACATAATATATGTATGTGTACTGTGTTTATTATGTATATATAAATACACACACATATAGTATATATTTAAAATATTTACATGTATATACATTGATATATTTATATTATTTTATTATATATAAATATATTTAATATATAAACAAAATTTTTCTTAAATATATACATGCATGTGTGTTTTTTTATATTCATAATAAATATACATAGTACACACATACAGTATATTATGTAGACAAAAACATTTATTTTGGATGCGATTAATCGCGATTAATCGTTT